CTTGGTTCACCGTCACCCTTCTCGCCCTTGTCCTTGGACTTCTTTTCCTTCTTGGACTTTTTATCCTTTTTGGCCTTCTTGTCCTTCTTGTCTTTCTTGGACTTCTTTTCACTACCTCCATCATCATCCTTCTTGACGTCTTCCAGGTCCTTCAAGAGTTCATCAGGCTCTTCGTCCTCCTTCTTGTCCGTACTGCTCCCAAGTCCTTTTGCTTTCTTCGTCAATCTATCCACGACCCTGTCTACATGCTCTCCGGCCTTCTTGGCCATAGCTCTATCTTTCACCGATAGCTTCTGCCATTCTTCAGGCGTGAGGTAGTCCTTGGGTCTTGGTGAGTTGTGGAAGAGTCGCCTCCCATCCGATCCCACTCTATACAGACGACCATCCTTTGCGATCTTGACATGCTCGCCGTCGTTGTTCAAGTAGATGATGTTATCACCTGGCCCGCCAACGGAGTAGTGATCGGGACCGGAGTAGTCCTCTTTCTTCTTCTCTGCGAGCTCCTCCGTTTTCTCATCCTCGATCGCGTCAATCTCGTTAGCTCTTGACTTTAGATCCCCGTCTGGTGGATCAGGTGCATCATCGTCATCGCCTTGATCATCGCTATCGTCGGGATCGGGTAACTCGGGATTGGTAGGTGCATCTGGAGAACCAGCTCTCTCCTTCAGGACTTTCATTCCTTCGAGGGTGCTGTTCAACCTCTCGTACTCTTTCTTCAAAGGGAATTCTATTCCGTCGTCTTGGAAGATCTTCTCGGTGATGTGAGGAGTAATCAGTTTCCTCAACGGTCTCTCGGCATCATAACCTAGATTCTGTCGAGCGAAATCGCTTATAGCCCATACTTTGTATTTCCTCGACCAGTTCATCCCGGTCCCCATGACGTACCCTGCAAAGATGCCAGGTATGCTCTTGGGGTCGAACTTATGATCTTGGTCTCTTTCTCTCGCATCACTTGGTTTGAAGAACACCTTCGCCCCGAGTGGTATCACCATGCCTGGGAATTCGTTCTTGTGCAACTTCAACCATGCACTGCTGCCATCGCTCAGCTTCTCGATGTTCAACAAATGGCTTACGCATTCCACTGCAAATGGCCAAAAACATGGTGGTAGTCCGGCTTCTAGTAGGCACGTCGATGTGGTAAGCATCATGAACTGATTGTTTCTTTCGGCGAGTGAATTGTTCTGGGGATGTCCTGGAAGCGACTGGTCTAGTGGGATCCGAAGTTCCTTGAGTGCTACTTCGAATTGTGGCGCATCATCAGAGTAAGCGTTGGTGACCTTTCTCTTACCGATATAGTGCTTCATCGCCTGCACTACTTCGTCACTATTGCTTGCTTTCAATGGTTAACCCCATATCATACCAGTAAACCGATCTCGAATCACCAATACATCCTTATCCGGCATGATCCCGTCTCTCGCCATCTTCTGAGTGTTCATGAGATCAAAGGTGATAAGGTCACCGAATGCCTTCAACTTTCGTTTGAAAGCTCCCTTGCTAGTCTTGTAGTGCTTCATCTTTGCTCTCACACATGACTTGCAGTATGGATTCTTATATCGGTGCGTCATCAGGTGCAATATGGATCTCGCCTCATTCTTCAGCACTCCGGGCTTTGACAGTCTAGCTTCTCCATCGACCACATCGACTTCCAATAACCCCTCTTCGTCTTCACCAATGTCACTCTCCTCTCGTTCAGAATCCGCATCACCTCCATGTTCGTCGTCTTCGGCTTCTTCAGGTTGACCATTGTGATCACTATCGAATCTCGGGTCTTCCCCGTCATGTTCCTCTTCAGGAGAATACCTATCATCACCGTGTTCCTCTGGTTCTCCTTCGACGCCTGCGACAGCTGGATTGATATCAGATTCACTATCTCGATCTCTCTGGTTATCTTTCTTCTTTCTCCTCCGTCTCCGTAGTTTCTTGGGCGTAGGATCCTCATGTTGTGCCTCGTGATCTGCTGTGGCCTCGTCTTCATGCCCCACACCTGACAGTATGCGATGAAGTATCGTAGCCAAGCCATCCGATCTTGGTAAGCATCTCCCGTCGTCATCATTCACCTTGATATAGGGTATGTTGTCATGCACCGATAACGGAATCTTGTTCGCGTTCCGGTCGATGAGGTATGGCAATTGATTTGCCGGCCATATGAATGAGTACCCTTGTTCCATGCACCGCTTCCCGATGGAAAAGACTGAGGGTGTGCTCTCCAACACGTGTGCCTCGGACATCGTGGGTAGCTCGTCCACATTGATGTCCACCATCTCTGATGTACTAGTTACACCATTCGCTGTCATGAAGCTCACGGATTTGGGTCCTTCCTTGGTGGTAAGGCCCATGGCATTGACTTTCTCTCTTGATATCAAGTCGTGTCCACATCCCGTGTCCATGATGAAGCGTATCGGTGGTCCATCATACCTCTCCACAGCCATGAACATCGTGTCTCCCGGTATTGTGTAGTTGACAGAATCCTTCTTTACTACCTCGCTGGTGCTGAAGTCAGACAGGTCGACGTTCACCTCGATTCCTTCATCTTGAGTGATTTGTATCCATGCCTTGGCAATGTGTTCAGCTGAGTATGACTCCATCATCTTACCTTTGGCATGCGCTACTCGCGCAGCTATATTGTTCACTCTGAGGGCTCTCAACGATGTAATGAGCTCGGTGTCCACCTTCTGTACTTCACTCTTCTTCTTCCTGAGGGGACGGGTATTTAGCTCGTTACCAGGATCGCAGGGAAACGTGGTCACATTCGCCTGGTCATCGAATCTGACTTTGAAGCGAAGCGCCAACCCATCTCGTCGTATATTGGGAAGTGCTGGTTGCATGTTCTCGTCATCACTCTCGATGTCCCCGCAAAGCATGAAGGCTGGTGCAGCTGGTTTGGGCTTGGCTTTGCCTTTAGCCTCTTGCTTTGCCGCAGGAGCAGCTTGGTGTTGACGTCGACATTTGTCCCCGAACTTGCACGATCCTTTCTGCCAATTCCAACAGACCTGATCCTTCATTGGCTTAGGGCTAGTGCTCCTACCACCAGGACTCTTTGATCTGTCACCCTTGAGGTTGTCTGGTTTCTTAGCAGAACTTTTGTGCTTCTCCTGGTGACTAAACTTGCATTTGTCTCTTCTAGAACATCCGTTCTTCCCATGGAAGTGGAAAGCGCATCCTATCTTAGACGTGTCTGCCGGAGTCGCTGATCTGCCACGGTCCCCTTTCGGGCTCTTCGTGGTTGACCTTCCACGATCCTGCTTCTTGTCCTTCTTTTGGTGATCCTTCGGATTATTCTGAGGAAGTACTGGAGCGGCGTCCTTCGGTGGATCGGCCTTGTTATTCTTGGGCTTCGCTTTAGGGTCCTTCTTCTCCGCTGGTGTAGCCTTCATGAGGTTCCCAAAAGCTTTTTCCCTTTCTTTCTTATTTGTGGTCTCGATTGATTTCCGTATCCACTTCGCCATAATCTCCCGTAACTTCTGATAGGTCTTATCCGGATCCTTATCCAACATGTTGTCGTACACAGACAAGTCTAACGCCATAACTTTGGAATCCTTAATCTTGTCCCAAAGCAGGTTGCGGAGTGCTTTGTCAGGAAGCATGTCATCCGCATCCATACCTGATATGATCTCATCCCACTGTCCAAGGAATCTGGATAGTTGATTATCTCCAGGGAACTTCAGATCGAATAAGTGCTTAGATGCATACATCACATCGACGTTGTCGGCACTCCGGAAGCTATCGACGATCACCGCTAACATTTCTCGTCCCTTAACCATTCCCGGGGTTGTGCCTCTCGCACGTCTCTGCATCATCTGCCTCACCTTCAGTTGTACGTCATGAGATCTCTCACCTGCTGCGTGGATAATCGTGTGTAGGGTGATACCTAGCTTAGCATCTATGCTAGCGAATCTTGCTTCGCCCGATGTCTCGAGCAGAAATGG